GCTCGTCCTCCATGGACAAATGTCCGGTTTGAAAATTTCCAAAGCATGTGAAATAGTCTTTAAATACGGAGCAATCGTTCCATATGTAATTTGGCATTCACTGAATATTTGTATTGGCTGTAAATTACATCGAAACTCGAAGAGAATCACATGGCGAATTTCTGTTTGTTGTGTTGATGGAGCTTCGTCCGACCTATTCGACAATAATGCGACCAGAGAGTTTGGTTGAAAAAAAGTAAAGAGAAACATACTTTCTGCTAAATACATTGTGTTTCAGTTGAAATCTTACCTCATTTACACTTTAGTTTCGACTTTTCACCAGTTTTGACATTTTACTGTCAAATTACTCAGCTCTTCGTTGTCGTCTAGTACTGTACGTAGGGTGTACTTTCACATTCGATTTTGTTCACTTTCGCGGAATGCGCTTTCGGCGCGTGTATTTCTATGCTTCTTAAGTTTAAATGAATTCGTAAACAAAATATTCATTTAGTTATATGGTTGCATATATATATACATATATTCATATTGTATTTATAAGAGAGGAAACTCTAAATAAATATTTTGTTGTTATTTGACTACGTGAGAAATAAGAAAAACTCATTTTGTATAAAATTTCTTATTCCAATTTTTTTAAATTTTAATTACACGAAAATCCATATAAACATTTTATGACTTCTACACCATTTCAGGGTCATTTTAAATATAGAAAACACTGCAGCTGTGTAATCTTCCAGTGTGTTTTATTTTTAATAAGACAATGTAAGAATTATTTACAAAATTGTAAAAAGAGTTGGAAAGAAAGTTGTGCGTGTGAAAATTTGAAAGTTTCAAAATGGAGAGACGAAAGAAGAAATATTTTTTTTTAGAAAATTGTCAATTAATCGAGGTTTTAAAAAAGGTAGACAATGTATTCAAGGAGTAAAAGGCGGAACTTGGTACAAATGTTTCAAATGATTGAAGAGAAGCGGTGTGAGACGCCACTAAGTTTTAAGAAAGACAAAATCTCAAAATATTCATCTTTTCAAAAATATTAATATACCGAAACTAAGCAATATAGAAGCAAAATATTAAATTACTTAGACATTTGAAGAACATTCAATGTTCTTGTCCAAATGAAAACCTGCTAGGGGAGACCTGAGTCCAGTAAATCTTATACTAAGCATACCTAAACCCGACTCTATGTTGCGTTCTTTGCATCAACAAACATAAGAAAGCTTCTACGTCGAAAATCTGCACTCTTCAGCACCGTAGCATACTCTTGTAGTACGCAAAGCATGGAAATGAAAATTAAAAATCGGGATATGTCGATCGAAGAGACATTCTATGCCCGACATTGAAGAAGATCGAATACTGAATGCCTGCCCGAAAAATAACAAGTGGTAGCCGATGGGCCGTACTATTCAAAAGCGACAATAACCACGACGTTCACTTTGCTTTCTTCACACTTCATAGATAAGATCTCTAAGAAGATCTAGAAACTAAAGTGCCTTGGGCTTATAAAGGACTTTCCAATACTTTGATGAATCAGCTCCCACGTCGCTTTTGACAGTCATAACTTTGAAGTCGTAATCAAATCTTGGATCCAGCATAAACACATAACAGCAATATCATTTGGAAGATTAGGATTCTCGTACAGACACGACCAACATTTTTGGGAAAACCAGTTTAATTCCCATTAGGAACACGAAATGGTGTATTCACATCGTTCCGAAGACGATTGGTTCAGCTCATCGGTCTTCTTATAACCTTCTATATCCGTGTGACCCGGGACCCTATTAAGTGCCATTTTGCATAAATTTACACATTTGGACTTTGTGTTGACACACTTAATTGCCTTAACTTGAGACGGAGTCTCTCGGTCTCATCCTAAATAATTTTTTGAACTGTGCCATTTCTTTAACAATTAGGGTACTGTACCCAGAACATTTAGACGACTGTTATAACTGCTTTATACGAATACATCAGTTGTGCATTGATTGGTTGAGAGGGTCCTCATCGCGCCTGCTATCTCAAGTAGACCGGTGCATTACACTCGTTAAAAACATTTAGTGCTTTATATGATCCCTTGTGGGATCGCAGGTCCATTTTGATGCAGTAGATCTGCTGCAGGTATTTCAGATCGAGAGCGCTTTACTGGCACTGCTTTCTAAATTCTCCTTCCAGCTTAGCTCTTTTTTTTATCAAGGATTGCACTGAGACACTTAACAGTGTTGTTATGTTAGGACCAGAAGGAAAAAAGATAGGCCCTTAAATGTTTATAACGATCTGGTCAAAATGACGAAGTGAGTTGATTAGCCTTGACCGTATATTTATATGCAAACTACTAACTCAGATTTCAGATATTTCAACCAAACTTGATATACAAAGTATAAACTATAGGTCTCTTTTTGTGTTGAAGAAACATCAAGACCTATTGGGCTAAAGATTTCAATGACCTTTACTTTGCAAAATGCTTTATTGGAACAAGGCTCATTTGTATGGGTCCACACTATCAATTGTATATGATAAACTAGAATCTGTACAGAGGCAATTCTTACTATTTGCGTTAAGATATTTAAATTGGGATGCGAATAAGGATGCCACGCCTTACAAAAGTCTCTTACAGCTCATTAGTCGTAGTTTTTTTTTTTTAATTAATAAGAGGTGTTAACAATAGCCCATTATTACTTAGCGAGTTTAACTTTACCATCCCTTTAAGATTCTTTAGACACTTTAGGCCCCTTTCATTGTGTTCATGCAGAACAAACTTTGATATGAACAACCCTTTTAGATCTGTGCGTAATGATTTTACTGACCGACTGACTCGTTTTTCTGTATCAAAACCTACTTATTGAGTGCTTTAACCATTTCGAAAGGACTTTTATATATCGATGCCTGCAGATATTTTTTTGTGATGAAATCAGTGGAGTTTACCACATAAATAAATTAATTTCTGTTTATTTTTTTAATGTCCTGCATATGATTTAGAGTCCTGGACTAAAATGTCCCTTCTGACAGGGACAATATTTTTTTTTACCCACACTTTTTTTAACAATTTCGAATACTTTCAGATGTTGGTAGTTGATTATTATTTACTTAGTACGTAAAATACTAGGGAAAATATTTCTCAACAAAAAATCCATCTGTCAAAAATTGAAAATTTTTTCCCACCTAATCTGTCAACATTGCAACTACATAATCATAAAGAACGTGTTGGGATTTGTTTGAACCAATTTCATATGCTATGTACCAAATCAGGGTTAAAAAAAATATAAGCATAAATACATTCCAGCAGTCTCGAAATGGTTTAAGTCAGGTTCCTCAAAAAAATTTTAAAAAATTCTAAATATATTTTTTCCTTTAAATTAATAGGAAATACTCTTAGAAATAAAATAGAATTAGTTCTGACAAAAAATTAACTACAGAAGACGGGCAGTAAATCCTCACGAACGAATAATTTATTCGCTTTTTTTGCGAAACCACGTTTTTGAACTGGGTGACTTATTAGAACTTATCAACCTGAACTAACGTCATTACTCCAAAAATGTCTCTCTATGATCGGCACTACAACAAAAAAAAATTAATTGCTTTTTGGAAAATTTATAAACAATTAAAATTCAAAACAAGGGTAAAAAATTAAAAAATCCAGTCATAGCCAATGTGATGCAGAATAAGAATCCGTTTTGATTTTTGTTCTCAGATGATTCGTTTTACAGTTAGGGTGTGTTTCTTAAGCAATTTTAAGACTCGCCACTTAAAAAAAATTCAATTATCATATTTATGAAGGGTGCTTTTTTAGCTAATATATTTTCGGTAACACTGGTTTAAACAGCTGGCGCACGTTTCGTGTTTTACATCACCGTCAAATATCTTCAGTTTAGTCTATAATTCGACCATGAACCGTCTTATAAACGAACAACTTTTGCAAATTATTAAATTTTATTATTAAAATATGTGTTGTGTTCAGAGACGAAGCTCACTTTCGACCGGTTAATTGGGCGCCTAGATCGAGGGCTATGTTAAATCTGATGTCTATACAGCAAAACGCGCTTCAATTGACTCATTGGAGCACAACATTGAAGCATTTATTCAAGGCATACCGGCCGAAATGTTGGAGAGAGTATGCCAAAATTGGACTACGGGGATGGAGGACCATTTGTGGAGCAGTCACGACCAACATTTGCATAAAATAATCTTTAAAAATCAAAAAAAAAATTTATCGATTCAAATAAAGATTTCAAGCATTTTTTTGGATTTAACTTGTTTTTTTTTTTTTTGAAAAACTTGCCTACAGTTCTTAAAAAATTACCATTTACCTCTGCTTATCTACAACAACTTTGATTTCTAAATATTTTTTAAATAAATAAATTTTTTTTGATAAAAACACGTTTTTTTTTTGCAGGAACCTGGCCTTAAATGATTAAGTAAATCCCTTCCCCTTTTCTCCAAGTAATTTTGAAGCAGCTGATGAACAAATCTGTGGCTATTTAGTCCACGATCCGTCTTAGGTTAAGGGCAAGGGTACGTACTGAAGTTAGATTTCAGTCAACGGTCTGTTGGATATTTCTATTATCCTTGAGGTGTATCCATCGGTCGGTTTGGTGGAAGGTGGTTAACGCTGGGTTCATCCTCAAAAAATTACCCACACCAAAAATGCGAGGCGAAGCTCGAAATTCCAAACTTCTTACTTCGATATGCACTGGAAAAAATCCAACTAGTTCTCAATTGGTTTTAAAGAGTTTGCCAATTCGAGTAGATTTCGATTTTCGCGATTTTATTACATACATACAACAAGTCAATTAAAAATATCCTTCAAATAAGTCGTGTTTTTATGAAAACATGAGCATATTTGGAATGGCTGAACCAAATATTGTTTGAAAACCCCGGCAAAACTCTTGCTGGAATGCGAGTATTCACTAAATATATTTTTAATAATAAAAAACTTTTTTGCAATAATGTGCTTGTGTGTGTTTGCCTTAACATATTTTAAATAAAATATTCAATCATTTTTGATTACTTACAATTCGATTTTATTGCGCTTTTCTTGGCCTTTCTGCCTCTCTGGAGAGCTTTTCTGCAGCCGGCAAAAGGCGTTCACACTGAACTTAACTTGAATCAAGAAATTTCATTAAATGCCGCCATATCGTTTTAAATATTAGTAGTTGTTGTTCGATGGACATGCAATTGCATTTATATTTTAAATTTTTAAATTTTTTAATTAAATTGCCCAACACATTTACTGCACTAAATTACACTAAATTTATTAATTACGTAAATTTAAATGAATTTATTTTTGGAGCGCTTTCATACATGAAACACACAATTATTTTTAATATTTTATAAAAAATTACTTGTATTAACTAATGTTAACTAATTGCTCATTAGAGAGCCCAACACACACTCCAGCTCCACGCGCGATCACTAATTACTCTGTATAGTAGTTCAGACACTTGGCCAGCTGAACTAGACGGACGCAACACACGTTCAACCGGCGGCGCTCGATTTTAGCGACTGAGGCTGCGATCCATTCGTCTAGTAGTCAACGACGCTGTCTTGGAGAGATGTCGTGCATCGCTGAAACAGCATGCCCCAGCCGTGTGCGACTCTTACCTCGCGACGCCGTCAGCCACCCACCCATCAAAACTACTTGAGAGCACTTTTGCAACTACAACGATTCATATATGTACATATGTATACGTATGTATATGACAACATTTATTATTGTTGCGGCGGCGGCAGCGGTGTTTGGGGACAGCTGAGGCATGGAACACCAAATGTGTGATAGGAATTAAAAGCGCTTAGCGGCGATCATCATGCGCACATACTTACATACCCGAGTATCTGTGTTGTGTTCCGTTGCGGATCTCCATACATACGTACATACACAAATGTACACAGATATCTTTGCAATTGGGCTTCGACAAAAAGTAAAAAAAGAAATAAAAATAAAAATAAAAAATTCGTGCGATTTTCACGCACACAGGAGATATGCAAGCGTACATACATAGACTATTATATACATACAGAGTGGTTCAAATACATTTTGCTCTTAGAGCATTAATGCTTTTGGGCACCAAATATTTCTCTTGCACATAAAAGTTTAGCTGTCTGACATTGCCATGTAGTGGTACCGTTAATTCTTATTAATTTGCTTAAAAAAACACATAAATTAAATTGTCCAATTTCTTTGCCATAAATCGAACAGACGCCAAAGAGTAAAATATATTCTAATATTTAATTGTAATCTAAAGTATTGATATTAATATTTGATATCTCCATAAAAGCTGACTCATCGACGTCGAATGTCGAAGGTCACAAGCCATCACTTGTGACCTTATTATGAAAATCAAAGTCGTGGCCTAACGACATTCAGATAAAGACGAGGAGAAATACACGTACTCAGATCTATTTTCCTGTTTAAAATTAACTTAGCCTTAGAAGGTTTCCGAGTATGCTAAGAACAACACGCAACCTAACTAGGCAAACCTTTATTCTAAGTTTTAAGCAAATAAAACGAGAGGGCAGGTTCTTCCTTTTTGGGGGAAAACAACTACTGTTTTATATTTGTCTAAATAAAAAATATGCTTTCGTAAAAACTCGAGCGGAATATATGAGGGGTTTAACGAAAGTTTGGTAAGTTGACCAGAAAAAAAATTTTTTTTGAAAGATTTTCCTCCACCTTCTCGGGGCTCGTCCTCCTCGGAAAAATATCCGGTCAGAAATCTTCGAAACCATTTAGAAATAGTCTCTAAAATCAGTGCAATCGTTCCATATGCAATTCGGCATTCACTGAATATTTTTATTGGCTGTAAATTACGTCGAAACCCGAAGAGAATTACATGGTGAATTTCTGTTTGCGTTGGTGGTGGAATTTCGTCTGACCTATCCTCAGCTGTCTTGCGTTTTCTCATCTTCATTTTAGCCGATCGTTCTGAGATTTGAAAGGACGACTAATATAGTAATTGAAAAGGTCTCGGTATTTTTAAATTTAACAAAAACAAATTTAAAGTCACCAATTGTCCGAGCTATTTCTAATCCCCTCGTAATAATTTTTACTATAGATATTATGAATAATTCTACCGTTTTTCATAAGTAATTCCTCTCTTTGTTGCATTATAATCCAATGAAGTGGAAAGAGGTGGAGATAGAAAGAGAGAGAGAGAGAGAGAGTAAGTTAGTGTCGAAAGGAGGTAGAAAAGAGTGAGTGTGTTTCTTTTATGGTGAAAACCGCATGAAAATCCGTTAAGCACTTCCTGAATTTAACGTGGCCAGACAGACAGAAATATGAGTTTTTTTTTTTATTTTTTTTTTTTTTTGGTTGTGTGCTATGAAAATTCTCTCTAAAGTGCTTTAGCGTCTTAATTTTTGCTCCCTGAAACCACATTTAAATTATTCTCAATTCAAAAACAAATCAATCTCTTATTACTAGCAATTTCATAAATAACTGAATACTTGTTTCAGTAAAAAGAAACAAGTTAAAGTAAATTGGGATAAGGACAAAGCATAGCTCTTTTTTGCAGGGATGTGACATCAGCATGTTCCAACGATTCTCTACAAAGCTTAAAAAAGCTTCGTGCACTAGTATACGGATATTTTTCGACTATAACTTCGCCGAAATTTTATTTAAGCTAATTTTATTAACCAACTATTGAGCTTAATATCGGTTCAGTAGTCTCATGGTTACTAATATGAATCACATTCAACCCCCTCGGTAGTTTTATGCATCATAGCGTGAAACTTTTACTAATTTTAATTTGAAGATATGTATATCCACAGCTAGGAGTACTAGAATTAACATAGAGTAGTCGAGTTGTCAACTACTGTACCCGCAAGATACTTCTTAATAGGTTAGTGGTGAAGTTGAAGGCTTCTTCAGGAAGTTTTTTAAGAACTTCAACGGTGATGCGATAATACCCTGGAATTTTTCTGGTTTTTTAGATTATTGACATTGCTTAAAATCTCAAACAAACGTTTATTCAGAAGTTAACGTAAACTCATATATTAGATTTCCACAGAAAACGGCTGGAGTTGGATTGGGGTAGTTATTTTATATTCTCTTGACTAGGAAGTAATAAAACTTGAAGTGATTATTCAAACAAAAGCTAATGCTACTTTTAAAACCTCGGAATACTATTTTAATGAACCCTGCCCATCCGAACTACAGTTCGCCGTCCTAACCACTCGGCTATCATGACCACCCAGAGGTTACTTGATCTATGCTTGGATGTCGTGAGAATCTTTTGTGGTTTTTCCCCGCATCACTGGCAGGCAAACACTTTTCTCGGTGGGTGGTTTTCTATATGGTATGTTCTCCCCAGTCTGGTCAAGGAATCGAAGCGGAACGGTCGGCATTCAAAGCATTATAATTGACAGCCATAATATCATTTTGTCTATCTGGGAAACAGCTTTAACACCAACAGCAATGTCAGCCTTGAAATCCAATGCATTTAGACAAATGAAATGCAAAGTTTCTCTCGACGAGCCACAAGTCGCTCGCCATACTCATTTTACTGTAGGTGCCGAGGCGGGTACGATCTTAACAACCGATGAGTGTGTTTTAGAGTTTTTGAGAGAGAAGGTTTTGGGAAGATTTTCGGTCATTTGTTCATTGGTAATGGCGAATACCGCAGAAGATGGAACACTGACAAAGTTCAGCGGATAAAAAAAAAAAACGGTTAGCTAGTGAGGTCATGCCAGCGGGATGGTTGAAATAACTCCAGCTTGGAAAATATTCGATATAGTACTAGCTGGTGGTAGTAAAGGAGTAGAAAGACCTTAACTCCGTTAGAAGTATCGGCAGAAAAACAAACTGGTTTCATTTGGCGTTTGCAATTGACGCCAAACAGCGAAGAGGAAGATATAGAATTAAGAAGATGTACTTAGTACACTAGTCCATTGCTACAAAGATATTTCATATATAAATATAGTTTTTTTTTCATATCAAAGTTCAACTCTTGGCTCCAGCAAACTGCATCTGTATCACCCTTTAAACCATGCCCACTCCAGCCCAGTGGTCGACCGGGCCGGTAAATTGCTAGAACAACAAATTATTAAGATAATAAAAACTGAAAAGTTCCAAAGGCGAACGGGTACACGAGTTAAAAGAATTTAAAGATAATAAAAATGCACTAAATTTCGAAGAAATGGCAAATTAACAGTGCAAAAATTAAATATAACAACAAACGAATAAACATCTGCTGCATATAAGACACGCGTTTTACATTTTGCTATATACAATATTATAAAGACCTGCCGCTCACTAATCTCCTGCGTTTCGATTGCTTTGGGAAAATTTGCTTAAATTAGAAAAATGTGAAAAATTATTTACTGACCTTAAAACCATTTGTGTTTATTCAAGTTTCCCACAAACTATGTTTTATTTTATTCTCTACACTTCCGCGTGTTAACTATTTCTTGAGTTGATATTTTCCAGTTTTCGCGAGTTAATGAAATAGTAATTTATTATTTAATATAAATTTATATTGTTTTCGGGTATGTGAGGTGGGTAAGAAATTGAATATCACCTTAACCGCACAAATAAGTTTTTTTTTATTATTTAAAAAATATTCAGGCATTCCTAACTACATAAATCAAGAATAATAACAATAATGACAATAATAACAAGCACAACAACAGCAACAACAAGAGCTATAACTTGCACGCTTATTTGCGGTTGTGGTTAGCATCGAGGCGTGACTTTGCTTCACTAATCGAACATCTTCGCAATGACAAAGTGTTCATTGAGTGGGTTGACTCACCGATTACCGCCAATTATTACATAAATATTATTATTATTAGTCAAGTAGTATGCCCACCCACTATGAGATCATAATTCTGTGCTCGTGCTTTTGATTAATAGCTTAAATTCAAAACTGGAGAAACTTATATACATATACACTGCGCGACAACCGATTAGCACACCCTATGCTGCTCGTCTTAGAAACTTAATATCAGGAAAACTAAAAAAGCTTTTCAAATAAATTTTTTTCCCCTTAAAAGAATATATAATTTCAAACGAAAATTAATAGAAGATAGGATACTAATTTTATTAATAACATTTTAAATTAATGTAAACAAACATAACATACAAAATTCACTATTATTTTTGCGACAACCGATTAGCACAGTCACTTGAAAACTTAAAATAACAAAAGAAAATGGGTTCAAACTTCATTCAAATTGTTTTTTAATATTAACTTAAATATATTTAAATTTTTTTGAAAACAAATTATTAATGTGTTGAGCCTCCACGGTTAAGTATGACTTCGTACATCCGCTGAGGTAAGGAGTCATATAATTTTTTTATATAATTGAGTGAAACAGCCTCCCGAGACCTTTTTATTCCTTCAATGAGTTCTGCTTCAGTTGAATACTGCCTGCCGGACTCGTACACCTTTCGTGCCAGCCATCCCCAAATATTTTCTATAATATTTAGGTCGGGAGAGTATGGCGCCCAAGTCAGTAATTTCACGTTTTGACCATCAATCCAGGACTTTACAATCCT